AAAATGGTGGCATTGATGGTGACTTCGTGTCTGCGGTTAGCGATAAAAAGTCTGGAAAATCAGATGGCGAAATATAGGGGTTTGAAATTTCGGACTTCTTATTACATTGACTCTGTGGGGAACTTGACGGTCCCACAGATCAGTCCGGGAAATCAGGCATGTCCAGAATTTCGGGCGTCCGGGAAATCGGACGTCAACTGTATTCTTGGTCTGGCAACAAATGCAGCAAGAGCTTTTCTGTAATGCCACCGATGCCTCACTCCTTCAGGGTGATGCGATTTTTGATTTCACTATTCAGCCTAACCTTTGCACTGCCATGTGTTTCTCCATTGTTGAAAGCTTAACGTGCTGTTGTTAGTCTATCTTAATTGTTGGGGAACTGGGGATAATACGTACAAATGTAATTTTTTTCGTTAGCTAATCACTGCGTATTGCAGTGTAGCCAGCATGGCCAAGCAGCAACAGTTCTCAGCACTGTGTGCAGTAAATGGCATCTTCATAAAAATGAAGATTTGGCTGTACAAAATTTTGTTTGATACTATGCGAAAAAGATAAACGTCTGTTCACTGTATTTTGCAACATTTTTCACTGTTCCTCTGATGCAACTGCTGCTTGAGCACTTTCAAGCACTCCTTGCATGTCTTGATTGTGAGACCGACCTATTCATTGCACATAGAAGGTAAGCTGCACAGTCACCCACAAATAAAGAACAAGTGCTCTCACGTGTTTTGAACATCGTTAGAACACGCAATGTTGTCGTCCATTGACGATAATGTTCAAAGAAGCCACCCAAGCTTGCAGATTAGCGCAACTGTTTCCCTCACCCTTCTTGAAAACTAGGTTCATTGTGAATGCAAGAAGTTGGGTGCCTTACGTAACAGAGACCGGAGAAGACAAGGACAACCCAGGCGCACACTCTCAAGTGGAAGTTTATTGAACAGGCAATACATATATAGCTTACAAAAAATGTCACATGGTACAACTTCTCTCGCCTTAGAAAAAACTATCGCCGTTCCAAAAAAAAAAAAATCAAGTTGCATGCGCCTAAACGGGAAAAAAAATTAGATAAAGAAAAATAAAGAAATTGCATGGATGCAAGGGAACAAGCGGATGAAGAGAATAAAAAAGATTAGTGTTCTATTTTAACCAAATATAAATACTCTATCTATGATATTACAATAAAATGGAGACTGACACATTTTCCCCCACATCTCTGAATGTGAAAAGCTTCAAATAATTCGTTTAGAAAAGCTTCGAATAAGATGCTGTTTTCGCGTCTTTCTGGACGCATGAGCAGTACAGAACTTTCGATGACCACCTGCCATTGCAGCTATCGCACAGTCGTCGCCCAGGTCTCTTCGCAAAATGGCGGATTGCGCACCGGTGTCTAGCAGGCGAATCCCTTTACATTCAATAGGAAACCGACGACTGCGCCAAGTGATAGAAACGCACCAATGATTTTCGAGTGCTTGATGACAGGGATAGCTGTATTGTTGCTAGATGAGACGCGTTTTTTCGCTAAGGACAGATAAAAGAAGAATTCTTCTTTCAAATGAGACCAAAATGGCTTTACTACTTGGGGTGGTTCTTGGGTGCTGCAGCGTCGAATATGACTGTTTTCGAGGTGGTCTTGCGAGCGGAAATGATCATGAAACTGACTTTGAGACCGAATAATGGAGTACATGGCGATAGTATTTTACGAACAGCTTCTTCAGACCCAATATGTTGTTTTGAAAGAATACTTCAAAAATGTATTTTTCAGAAATTTTACGGCCTCCAAGATCTGAGTCTCTCCTTACGTTGGTCGGGGTCATGAAACTGACTTTGAGATTGAGTACCTCGACAAATACTGAGTACATGGCAATAGGAGCAGCTTCCTCAGACTCTATATATTATTAAAAACAATACCTTCGAAAACTGATTTTTCAGACATTTTTCGGCCCCTTAAGGGGAGATGCGGGTCGAAAAATCGCGTTTTTTGCGAAAATTTCCACTTTTGAGATATTGCTGCTAAAATCACTTTTGATCATTCAACTATCATTTCCCCAAAGGTCATAGCTGAATTCAAATGAGAAAGTGGTAAAAAATCGATCTGCGCTAGTGAAGGTAGCTGCCGAAGTCGCGAATTCACGCATCCGACGGCTATTTTTGAAAATCCGCCACTCGGCAACACGATGACGTCCGCCATCGGGGTTTGTTCGGTGGTGTAGATCAAGGCTCCTTCTAGTGTACAGGCGTCCCCCTAGTTTCGTATTTTAGTGAGGAATTTCACAAAACAGTCGTTTCCAAGTCGGTTTGCAGCCAAGCTGCAGCCGCTTCGCGCATCTCTACCGGTCACATGGTACGCTACCGAGGTTGCCATTGGCTACATCTGATCGGCCTCGCTCGCTGAGCGCTTGCGACGATCGGCACTTGCCGTGCGTTTCTATGTTTTTCCGAGTTCACCATGGATAACTCGAAGAAGCGAGACTTCCGAGCACGAAAGTTTGCAAGCAAGAACAAGTACCAAGGGCGTCGGCGTAAACCGAAGCGCAAAGCAGCGGTAGAAGAATGCGAGCCGCGGGCCACTAGGCCTAATCAAGGCAGCGGGGATACGGCGGCTTGCGGGAACTTTGACGAAATCGACGCCGCGATCAAGTTCATCAGCGCATCAGAAAAAAAGATTGAACAGTTCGAAAGCGAAAGAACGAAGAGTGTTTGTGGCTCTGTGAGCGGAGTATTTTGTGACATCGGCGCACTGACATCGATGGTAAGCCGTGCTGTTTGTCCAACATGCCACACCGCTGGACTCGTCGTTCGCGACACCGCAAGTAAACGTAAGGGCCTCTCTTCGTTCCTCGAGCTGCACTGTGATAACAGTGAGTGTCCTGAGTCAGTGGTTTCTGCCGCGCATAGTTCGCGGCGTGTTCTGCCGGAAAGACAGCCCACCGATGCCGGTGATGACTGGAGCTACCGAAGCGGCAGCTCGCGCGACAGCTTCGCTGTCAATGTGAAGGTAGTTGTGGCTGCGCGTGCAATAGGCATTGGGCATGAACAGCTGTCGCGTTTTTGCGCTATTCTTGGACTGCCAATACCTATGCATCATAAGACTTTTATTGCAATCGGCAAAAAAGTTCATGCTGCAGCTACCAAAGCTGTGCAAGAAAACATGGCGAAAGCGCGGATGATAACTAAAGAGAAAGTGGATGGGGCTGATGTTGCTGTCATGTATGATGGCACATGGCAAAAAAGAGGGCACAAGAGCCACAATGGCATCGGCACTGCTGTGTCTGTGGACACTGGTTTGTGCCTAGATTTTGAAGTGCTATCGAATTACTGCCTTGCCTGTAGCCGGCACCAGGACATGGGTGATGAGGAAGAAATATGGCAAGCATTCCACACACCTGTCTGCGAAAAAAATACAGAGTGCTCCTCTCATGCCATGGAGACTGAGGCAGCTTTGCGCATATGGGGCAGGACATCCTCATACACAACACCATTGCGCTTCACCAAGTTCCTCAGTGATGGGGACAGCAAAGCTTATACCGCTGTCGCTGAGGCCAAGGTATATGGTGAAGCTGTTGTGGACAAGGAGGAGTGCACAAACCATGTGGCCAAGCGTCTAGGCACTGCACTTCGGAAACTGCCAACAAGACTTCCACGAGGGGAAAAGCTGACAGATGGCACAATTCAGAAGCTGCAGAACTATTACCGTATTGCAATCACAAACAACAGAGGTGATATTCTGAAAATGCATCGTGCCATCTGGGCCTCATATTTCCATTCATCATCGAGCAACACAGCAGGCAGCCACCGATACTGTCCAGAAGGGGCGACTTCCTGGTGCAAGCATAGGCGAGCTGAAGCGCTTGGGGAGGCCCCACCCGACCACACACCAATCTTGACCAAGGCTCAAGGATTGGCTGTGCTTCCCATTTACAAGCGGCTCACAGATGAAAAGTTGCTGGTGCGTTGTATCCAAGGGAAGACCCAAAACGCTGCAGAATCTTTGAACAGCAAAATCTGGTTGTTGTGTCCGAAGACTAAGTTTGCCTCCCGGACAACAGTGGAAACTGTAGCTGCTATGGCCGTGTTGTGGTTCAATAAAGGACATTCAAGCTTTGAACACGTGCTAGAGGAGCTTGGTGTAGTCCCACCAGATCAACTGATCACCCTGGGCCGATCCCGCGACCAGAGGAGAATCGAAAGAATGTCTGCGTGTGAAACAGCCGAGGCAAGGACCCATCGGCGGAACGTGGCAAAGAAAGCGCGCCTTGATGACTCCCTTCTCAAGCGGCGAGAAGGATCCACATATGGAGCAGGACAATTTTAGGTGCTCTAGCTGTGTCCCTTCTATGATATCACCAAGTTTTGTGCAAATCGCACTGTGTAATCATGAGTAAACGTATTTACAACTTTCAAATGCATTTTTCTCGATTTCCATTTTGAGGTAATTCTCTCATCTTGTGCACAATCTTTTTTAGGCATAAAATAGTCCTATCTTGATGAAATTTTGCACAGAGCTTAATCAGCCACTCTAGAATACAAGTATCTACTTTAGGTTGCATTATACATCACAGATTTTTTGTTACACAACTTGATACACTGATAGAGAGATGTAAAATATGCATTTAGTACTTTTAATTTTTTTTTTTTAATGTAGCAAATAAATTTTCTGTTTGAGGTACTTTTCTGTATTGTACTGCTCAAGTGCAGCAAAATGAGCCATTTTGCAATTCTGTGTGAAAATTTTTAGTAAGCTTTATTATGTGCACAAAAAACATTATATTTTGATATCAAAGTTGTAGTAACTCCGGAACTACTATAGCTATCAAACAAATAATTGCAGTTATGAAATCAGCACTGCAAGCTTTACTAACACCTAAAATTTCAAGGAGCTGGGTTATGAAATAAAAAAAAACCTTTTTCGAGTAGCATCTCCCCTTAAGCTTGTATGTGCATCTTGTGTAGATGTGCTCAATGTCACAATGCCTAAAGATGTGCATATGTGTTTGTGGCAGAGAGGACTACAACCAGCTCGTGTTCGGAGCCCTGACTTTTGTCAAGACTGGCATCAAGCTCCTACCGCCGGCCATCCAAAAACCAGAGACGCTGTGGACAGGCAAGCAGGTAAGCATCACTCTGCCCTGTGCAGTGAGTACGCACCCTGAGCGCTATTTGATGCTCATGAGGGCAAATGAAAAAAATATTCTCGCATTAATTTCCAGCTATAGAAGGTACTGTCTCCAGTGCATGGCATAGCGACAGAAAACCGCATAGCTGTGCCACATGTCAGCAGCATGGTGTCTGAGCTTCCTTGGCTGGTGCACTTTACACATGCCTGTGCTGTCTTTGCTATTAGACATGTCTCGCTGCTCCATTTTCTTTTATGCGTCTGTGACCCTCGTGGCAGCCGCTGAAGCGTCACATCACCATTGCCATTCATCTGCTACGGCTGCTTGATGGGTAAATGAGCTCTAGAGCATCTTTTGCGCACTACGCAATGCTGTCCAGATGAATGTATATGAATGTTCTCATTGAGCATGAACTATGTTTTAAGGGGGGACGTGCCTTTCGGAACGAACTGTCTTGTTTCTGGTTAGATCTTGATGAAAATTGGCACAGAGACTAAGAATGACCTCATAATGCTTCCATAAAAATTTCAAGATGATATCATGAAAACTTTCTGAGAAACAAATAATTTCATTACTGGACCTCGTGGAGCGGCTGGAGAGTTTAAAAAATGACATAGAAAGTTGGTAAACACTGTGTGCAGAGGTGAATGTATGCTGTAGGGGGCTGCGTTTTCAAAATGATTTTTTTTGCAACACTAAAATTTGTAGTTCCATGTTTTCTCCACTGATACTTCAATGAGCACATTTGCACTACAAACAAGAAACCCTACCAAAAATTTTTAAAAAGCTAAATTTTAAAAATAAGAACGCAGCCCCCTGAAGCACAATTCAAGGAGCATTACAAAAAAAAACAGAATCAAAATCTGTCAAGTAGTTGCGAAGATATCTGCTCCATGAGCTGAGCAACATGCCAAAAAAAAAAAACAGTATTGAGAAAACGAGGTTCAAAGTCATGAGTCACGGTTTACATGCCTAATAGGCACCAGGGTTGTAGTCCTTAGTGTCCTTTGCAGTGCGGTGTCATCCACGTCCCGTCGTACACCACCATGACATTCTTGGTGGGTGTTCCCTCCATTTGGCTGTACACATTGCGAACGGCTGCAACAGCGTTGCAAAACACACGTGCCGCGGCCGAAATTCCCCCTTGAGATGCCTTTGAAAAGTCTTGTGGTGAATTCCCCTATGTGATACATTCATCACAGACCAAAAATAACTGAGTGCAGCTGATCCCTTTCCAATAGTTTTTATAGCTTGCATGGCCCGAATATTTACTTCAAATGACTTACTGTTTTCCATTCGCGGCGACGACCACGCATTTTTCGCGTCCGCGCCGCAAGCAGTGCAGGTGAGCACTATCTTTACCGCTAACCCGTGCTTAGTTCCGTGCTTCATCTTGAGTCCCGGCTCTTTGCACTGCGGGCACAGGGCACTGCCAAACAGACCATTCAGGGCTGCGCGTTGACGAGGAAAAACTCATCTTTGTCTTCCGTTTAGATGTCGCTCTCGTCCCCTTGGTCCATCAGTGACATCTTGCGCTCCGTCGCAGACACTGCTCTTAGGGACTCCTGAACAACCGCGGCGCGTTCGCGAGATGCCTCCGCTGACACTAAACGAGGCTCTAATCGGGCCCGAATCGTGCTACTGGTGGGGCTGGTAGACGGCCTCGCATCCTCGCGCGAAGTACTTGGCTGAGCATCCGCGATGTCTACATCCTCGCGCGAAGTGCTAGGCTGGGCATCCGCGATGAATACATCCTCGTGCGAAGTGCTAGGCTGGGCATCCACGATGTCTGCAGCCTGCGCGGAATGACGAACGGATGTTTCCTCAGACAGCACAAAGCACTGCTCCACAGGCATATGAACAGTTTCGTCGATGCTCGCGGACGATGCTCCGTGCGTGCTTGTGCTCGGCTGCGAGTCCTCGTCGTGCCGCACGCCGTCGTCGCTGCTCGCAGAAGTTGCCGGACTGAATTTCTTTTTCACGATCGGCGGCTTCGGCTTACGAACACCAAATCGCTGCGCAGTCTTGCGTTTCTTCTTGAACGATCGCCTGTCCATGATCGCATGCGGGAACCGATCTCAAAACTGCAATGCGCCAAACTGGATAACAACGTTTTTCTCCTTTCACGAGCGCCGGTCTTATCGCAGCGCGATGCGATCTCGAAACCACGCCGCGACGAGTTGAAAACAAATGCAGTAAGCGGCCCGTCAGCGCTGTTAGCGCGTAGAGCAGACGAGCTTTGCGCCAATTGCTACAAGCGACCGCACGAAACCACGCCGCGACGAGTTGAAAACAAATGCAGTAAGCGGCCCGTCAGCGCTGTCAGCGCGTAGAGCAGACGAACTTTGCGCCAATTGCTACAAGCGACCGCACGGGCGACCAATGCGGAGCCGCCGTACAGTCACGTGACGCGCGTCGCCAATCGGAAACTGTTGTGATACCTTTACACTTTGGCTTGCTGTGGGCTTGCTCTTGCCTGGTTTAGCCGGCCGAGGCGGCAAATTTGAAACGGAAGAATCGCGCTATCCATAGCGACAAAGATGGCGGCGCTAGGTTGCGTGGTTGCGGAGATATCGCGGTTCGAAAAACGCCGTTTTTTCGCAATTTCCGTGAAATTCATCGCCACCTTAGCTTCGATAAAATTTTTTTACGTCATTTCTATGCTGTTTTCAGGGACGAAACTTCGAAATTAGATAGAAAAGGGGTCACAGAATGTGAAAATGAGATTTTCAGAAAATCAATTTTTTGGCCAAATTTCGCAATGCCAAAGCCGCGTGAATCCCTAGACAACCCTAGTGAATTGGCTGTTGTGACCGAATTCGCGTTGAGTGCACTTTGCCATTTATACCAGAGTACATAGATGTTTGTGGGTGTACTCTGACCGTGCCAGGTCGTGCTCCGAAGAACTAAGCAAGATAGCTTGCATCATTGTGAAAGGCTCACCCTAAAAGGAGATGGTCCACTAAAAGGGAGGTATAGATCGGCAGTGACACAAGTTGTATAAGGTTGCCGTTGTCAACGAAAGATAGCTGATGCTTTCTGCCGTGTAGGCTTGTGCGAATATCCAAATGCCTTAAATATTCGAACGAATATCATAGTATTTGAATTCTCTTCAATTCGAATTTAAATGATCAAAAATATTGAAGTATTCGAAACGAACGAATAAATGTACAGTCGAACACGATTATATAGAACCCACATGTAGTGAATTTTCGGATATATTGAACTCATAATTTATCCCCTTGAAATTCCTCAAGCAATTCCTCAAGAAACGTTTGAAAGCTTGTTATACTGGCTTATATGCTCTAAGTATAGTAAATATTGAAACCTATTATGTTGTACTGGTTATCACTTGCATTCTGTTGAAAATCAAATACTGCTACTATTCAAAGTTGTTTTCACTTCCATTGAAGAAAAAAAAAAGGCATTTGCACAGTCCTTGTTTCAGTTTGAAAAAAAATATGTATTGGCAGGTTAGTTGGGTCAAGACAGATACGCCCATTTTTCTTTATAACATTTAATACAAGGGTTCATAGTAGTCTTTGAAACCCTTAAAAACCCTTAAACTACGATATGGCATGTTCAACGCCTTGAAAACCCTTAAACTTGTTTGAGGTCCTTAAAAGTCCTTGAATTTTGTCAAAGTTTTATTAGCCATAATTTAATGGATTTTTTTGCTTGCCTGGCAACCATGCCTTCTCAAGCCAATAAACCATCCAATTCTGTCTGTTTCTTTAGCCCTAGTTTAATGTTGTAGTACAGGGCAGTGGCTGCTACGACGCGGTGAAAATAGCAAAAATGCTATTTTCAACCAACTTGGCTTGGATCCGTATATACATAGCTACGGCCTTTGGAGAACGGTGGGTCAGGCAACCTGAGGTTCTCTGGGCATATTTTTTGTGTGTGACGTGCTGTAGCTTTTGGTTAACGGTGGGTCAGGCAACCTCAATTTCTCTGGGCTTGTGCACATGCGTGCGCGTGTGGGATGAGGTGCACGCGTTCGCGAGCTGTACACATTTGTGTTGTGCTGGACTTGTGCTGATTGCGGTGTCTTTGTGGTGGGCGCAGGCGCTGTGATTGTGCTTATCGTTGCCCATGTGCTTGACGAACGCAGATTGTGTTTGCAGTGCTTGAACTTGCACTATGGTCCCTTGCACTAGACACCATACTTGCACTGTCACTACGTACTTCAACATTATTTTTGTGATTGCTAATGTTTGATTTTTTTTTTTTCGTCTAAGGTGGCAGCGTTTGTTTTACAAATTTTACTGAGCGTGAAAGTATGTTTTTCACTGTGCTTGATCATATGCTTCGGCAACTTACTTTTCACTGTTATGCCGCGTTCTCATCGAATGTATCAATTAATCAATGAGTGGCATTACAGCCATTTTATTGGTCAACGAGGCCAATTTTCTCTCTTCGTTAAGCCATGCAAGTATTACACGATGTAGTTTCGATTTAGATCCTGATCCTGATTGCAAAATGCAGAAGCAAGTCGTTCATGGTTGAGAAACAGGAATCAAATTGAAAGAGCCTATATGGCACTAATCAAGCCTCATACAGTCGCACGATTGATAGTTGTACATAAATGAGTGTTCGACGCCTAAGTATGTAGTATGTGCGGTTTGCACCCCTCGAATTTTTCTGCCTACGCGTGCCCTATTTTCTGGCGTGAAATAGCAACCCTGTAAACAATAAACATACTAGTATCAAGCCCTTTCAGAGATTAAAAAACAGATAGGCACCTGTTTTTTTTTCTGTAATTGGAAAGTAAGCCAATATTTAGGGGGAAAATAACATCATCCATGTAGGGTGACAGCAAAAAAAGCACTGAAAAAGTGGTGACTTCTTTTAATGTATAAATATATTGTACAATGACATAATTTATTGTTTGAGACTTACGTATATCATTGAAGGAAGGTGACTGTGGTGCATTTAGCAAAACGTACTAAATGACGTTAAACATATGGACGAATGTTGTATGCACAGATGTAT